TGGTTATCTAATTACAAATAACATCCCGAGTTAGCAGCAGCATCCTGCTGACCATAAATTTAATCTTGCTCTTTGGCAACAGTTCGTTCATGCAAAGGACAGAGATCATTGGAATCAGCTTATACTGTATCTTTCGTACTGTGCTTTTACACCTGATGGAATTCACGAGCTTCCAGAGGTGTCCTGCTGCCAGAGAACAAGGCACGTCTGAGGCAGGTAATCCCCTGGCATGCTGGTGTGTGAGAATGTTGTGTGGACTAATGATATTCTCAGTGTGCTGTGAAGTTCAGGTCTGGAGTGACAGGGCCACAACAGAATGGCACAGCTTGTGTCCTTGGGCAGAGAGAGAAAACGAGCTGCATTAGGCTTCATCTGTAGTATTCAGCTTCTCTTTTCTTGGAGACACAATGTGGGGTCATAGAAAACAACTTTCCTATGAAACTTGATAACTTGAATGTAACTTCTCTTACAAATGTCACAAGAAGTCATTGGGCGCCAAGGGGTGCTTTAGTTCAGCTATTCAGGCTCCTTAGTACAAACTTCCATATGGGTTACTGCTTTAGAAAATCTTGGCTCAACTTAAGTTATGCTCGAACAGTCCAATGATCAATACTACATAAGAAGTGCTATGAAAAATGAAAACAAAAATATATTTGGGGCTGCAAGAAAAGGAAAAACGAACATCCAAATTAAACGTCAATTACCATCAAGTACTGAGTTATTCCAAATGATGCGTGACTAACATTTGGTGAAGTCTGTACTCTTCAGGTTTGTGGTTTCATCTGTATTAGCTATCAGTAATGCAAAAAAGCAGAAGTGTTTGCTTAAAGGAAGACTCTCTTACTGACATTTGTCAGTGAGAATTGAACTCTGACTGACACAAACCATGAATCATAATTTTTTGAAAGCGGTAGAAATAAGCTTGTCCCTTCCTCTATCCTTTCTCCTGGAAGAATACTTTCTTTACGGTTCTCATCAAGTTGAATAGCAGCAACTGGTCAGATGTAGACTACTGGCTGTCGTCATGCAAACTGTAACTGGAAATCTAAAAATGTACCACCAAAACCTAATAGTGAAACTGCAGGCTCAGGCAGCTGATGAGGCAGAAATGGTAGGTGCGAATTTCTAGCGAAGGCTGCCTGCTAACATCAGTCCACTTCCTGCTCACCTTACTCACATGAGTAGCCCTACTGAAATCAGCTAAATCAGTCATGTAAGCAAAATAGCTTTCAGGCTCTTGTTTTTATGCAGATTTCCTAAAGTGAAAGAAGCTGGCTAGTGCGATCATGTATGAAACCGTCCTCTACCGTCCCTCGGAGTAGCTTGCTCCCCTTACCACAAGTCAATCCATTCCATTTCCTGAAGGTTTCCCCCTTCTCTCTCTCATGCCCCTCCATCACGCACCAGTGGAACAGCAATTTCTGATCCATATATCCCCATGTCAAACGCTGTGCTAAAAATGGTTGCTTATACGCAGTGTAAGCAATTAAATATCATGCAAATACTTAAAAGGTGAAAAACAGAATTCAGAATAACCAAAGTAGACATATATTCCAACGATCACACAGGAAACCTTAGTCCATAGCACTAGTAAACATAGATGACTGAACACCCTTTGCTTGGACTTGCTCCAGATATCCAGCCATGCAAATTCTGCATAATATCTCAGTGTGGGATCTTGAAAAGGTGCTGCAGACATTGCAAAATTGGTGTCCTGTTTCATGCAATCTCTTCTAATCATTTTCCCACAGCCCTACATTGCAGCTCATGTTTCCTGAGTCCCGTGATCATGTCTCTCACTCCCTTCCTCTTTTATCGCCATCTTTCTCTTCTTTGCTTCCTTTTCCTTTTCAAGTAACTTTTCATCTGCCTCATCACCCTGTTCTCCTGTTCTCACAGACGCATATTCATCAGCTGGGTAAATCAGCAGTGTGTCAGTGAAGCAATGGCAGCTAAAAATCTGGCTGACAACGTTTGTTTGAAATGCAGAAATTCAGTCTTGCACCCCTGCCTTTTCCTCTTGTGAACACTTGCTTGTGTACTGCGTCTCCTTGCCCAGCCAGCCCCTCCTAGCTGCCTTGTCCAGTTACAGTGAAAGGCACTCAAGGGGCTGTGTCTGATTGCAATAGTCAAAGGCAAACAGGAGCTGACATCCTGACTGGAATAACTTTGCTTTGCTATAACTCTGCTACTAGAAATAAAAACAGCACAGGATACCAACCTGCAATGACAGAGTGGCTAGGTCAGGGGATTTAAACCTTCACAGTTACTCAGCAAGATGCTCAAGCGCTAACTACCTCTGCTAGTCTACCAATAACTTTATGAAGCCCCTACCAGCCCTTTTTACACATGCGCGTCAAAGGCTGATTGCAGACTGGCTTTCTTGTCATGTTAAGAAAACAATGGCTTAGGTCCAAGCTACAGTGTTTTTCTTTCTGTGGGATGATCAAAGGGTTATAAACAAAGGCACACAGAAGGTCTCCAAAACAAGTTTCTGCAGGCATTGCACAAAGGTTGCAGACAATGGGTAAAGTACAGTAAAGTTAGTGAAAGTGAAAAATGACTCGTAGAGAAAACAATATTTTCAGAGGCTTGGAGGGCCCAGTCAGGTGATTTACTTTTGTAACTGCCTCCCTCCGATTTCTGATTAACTGACAGGCCTCATCAGGAGAGTCTGGGTAAGCTGGTTTCATTTTGATTTTTTATCTCTTTTGCCTTATGACACCATTGTTCTAGTATGGCCCCAGAAAGATCACACTCTCTCCCCTCAGAATAATTGTGAAAAAGAATGGTGAATCCAAGTGTGTTGGAAAAGCCTGAGGCATTGTTTTGCTGTCATGCAAACCTGGCTACATTATCATTATTATCATAGACTGACATCTTTCACTGCCTTTTCTGTTTTCCAAGACAAAAGAGCCAGCTGAGACTGGAACAAAGGAGAATACAGGGAAAAGGAGAGAATATGTCAAGCAAGAATAGTTTGGAAAGGGCCAAAAGTGGAAAAGGAAGTCTAATTCTAGCCTCGTCCAGGGGAAAAAAAGTTTTTTCAGAAATGTAAACAAATCAGGAAATCCTGGCACTTACTCCAGTTCCGATTTGGCGAAACACACCAGCCCTTTCCCTGTGTGTGAGCTGCTGTTTGTGAATGAAATCCAGATTAGGTTATTCATTGAGCCTTGCCAGTCCCACAGTTTCCAGGTTTCCTTTTGCCTATGGCATAGCTTAAACCTTAAAATAATAATAATAAAAAAAAAAACATATGCATGTTATTAACTCTCCATATTCAAATGGAAATACAATGCTATCATAAATCTCTTTTTTTTTTCTAATGTAAATTCCTTTCTCCAGCATGAAGCTGCAGGAAAGCCATTGTATCTGTGCAATCTAAACTTGAAAGGGAATTTTTGTTAAACTAGTTATGATAGGGGAAACATGTTTTTCACTGGGTTGAAAGATTAAAGTTGGTCATAAAAAGGGGTGGAGGGGTTGGGGAAGGATTATTGGTTGCTCAACTAATGATTAGATACAGGACTTCAAGGACAAATTAAGGAGCACAAAAAGAAAGATTTCTGAAGATAAGTGAAACCAGTTCTAATAATATCAAATAAAAGATGCCTTGTTTATCGTGGATTTTAATCTCCCCTAGTTCTATTCTACCCCTCTTAGTCTAATTAGACAATGAGAGTGTAAACTCCAGAAGAGACAACCAATCTTTTGTAGACCTTGAAGTCTACCTGGCATATCTGTCCTCCAGCTTCCCATTCTTTTGCCTGTCTCCCAGTTTGGGTAATTTCCCTCTATCATGTCTAATGGGATTCCAGCGTAAATAGCTTCTTTGTAACATTTTTCTTTTTCTAATTTTATTTTTGAATCCTTACAGAAATATGACACCAGTTGCCAAAATCCTCTTTTTCCTGATTCAGAACATAGTTTCTGGCTCATTAACACTGTCTGTTTAAGATGGAAACAGAGGTAGTGGAGACTGAGTACTGCTAGCGTTAGCTCAGGCATGGTTATCTATGCAGTAATACAGGCAAAGTTTGCAGCTAAACTAAGAATATGTCAGAAAAAACCCAAAGCTGTAAAGCGAAGTTCAGATAGGTGGAAGTTGTTGTGCAAGTTTAAATGGCCGAAAGAAAGAAGTGCACCTTGGTGGTGGAGAAACGAGAAAAAGAGTTCGATAAATACCAACTGGTAGTGATGAAGAGCCCTCATTAAAAATCCTATAGCACAGCAAATTACAATTTCCTTGTAAGGAAACAAGGAAAAGATTCCAGTTTACTCCGATTAATTTGGGCCTTATTGGTGGGTTTGGCTAACGACTGAGGAACTCAAGAGCAATTTCAGCCCTGCTCTGAAGTGGGCACACATCAAGTGATGCAACTGAGTTGTTGCCTCTGTGTCTTGCACACTGTCTGTCAAATACTTGTGAAGTTAAAGCATCGGAAGACATGCTTTAACTGCTGAAGAGCTGGAGCTGTTCTTGTTTCCAGTAGCAGCCTTGTCTGCGTATTTACTTCTCTGTGTGTGCGTGTTTGTGAGCGTGTATGCTGTATGAGAGAGAAAGAAAAGCCAGAGAAGACAATATTTGCGCAATCATCTTTACTGTTTAGAAAAGGTTGCATCTTTTACCTGGAGAAAACTACTGGCTTTGAGCCATCTGGAGGTAAAATCACAGGGAAAACAATGTGTTTTCATTTTACTGTGGTATTACCGTAGCATCATGAGTATCTTTCCCCTGTGGAAGTTAGACCTTAGCGTGATCACATGGTGGTAAAGCTGAAGTGATTCTGTTTTGTTCTTTTTCTTTGTTTTGGGTTTTTTTTTTTGCAGTAGATCTGAGGAGCCAGAGTTCCATTTTTAAAAGTGACTTGGCCTAAACTACAATTTCTTAAAGCTTTTCAAATTTTACTTTTCTGACAGTTTTTTCCAAGTAAATATTTACTTTTTCTCAATGCAAGTAATGTTGTAACTAGTGCTATCAGAAACTGGAAAATGTTGCTAACCATCCACATTCTCTTAAACTAAAAAAAAAAAAAAGTCACTATAAAACTGTCAGCATTCTTACATTCCACATCATTGGTTTAAAAACAGCTCTGTTTCTTCATTTAAAGAATGACTACAGTCCCCAGCACAGCACAGACGAGGGCCGTGGCTTTCTTCATGGCTCCTGCACCAGACACAGTTCTCCAGCCAATAGAGGTCACTCCGTTCTGGATGATTTGTCGGTCATCTGGACTCAGCAGCCTAAAAAGACCTAAAGTCTGCTCTTCTTCCCTACCTGGACAGAGTTGCTTTTGGGGAACAGGAGGAGGGAAGGGGGTGCAGGAACTTGTGCTGAGGTCAGAGAGGGCCCTGGCTCATTACACTGACGAGCTGGAGCCTGGTGGTTGCCAGCTCAGCTTTTGCCTGAACCTGTAAACTCTGTAGCCATGCAGCTCACGGGGACTATCAGATAGAGGAGGGAGAGCATGTTTAGGGCCAGCACTTTTGGGACCTTTCATGTAAAATTATTACTACCTTTCAGAATCGGTAGGATCCTGACTCCTTTTACATTGATGGAGGTCTTTCCACTGCCTGCAAAGGCAGTAGCAGTAAGTCAGTTATCCTGAACACAGTCCTTTGTTTGCATTTTCTGTCCAAAAGAGATATCTGTAGAACCTGTAGAAACAGAAATAAAATGTACATTAATCCAAGAGACTTTAGTTTAACTTTATTGCTGTCGGGGCAATAAAAATCATCAACTTTTTATGCCAGGACATGGCCAGTGATGAATAAAATAATCTGGAGAGAAACAAAGTTACAGATCCATCTCTGACTCCCTTCTGTTGCTCTGAAAAAAAATTATCCAACACATCTGCGTGAGCACTCAAGGAGCGCTCGCAAAAGCTGTAGATGGTACATCTCTGTTACCCTGTCAAGGGAAAACTGCAACAACACTATTAATTTCAGGCTGTGTTCTGTAGCCTGCGTAGTGCTGTATTCTCCAGTGCAGAAAAGAAGGGAAACAGGTGCTCCATCTCCTCAGCATCTGGTTTGGATGACCACAATACTCCAAACACCTGCACTCTGCAGTCCCGCCAAGCCTTGCCTCCTATTGTATTAGGCTGGACTTGCTGCCTATAGCAATAAAAGACATTGTTTATCAGTTGTACCAGAGGAAGGTGGGTTGTGAGGAGGGGACAGAACAAACCTGAAAAAAATCTAATATGAAAGAAAATCTCCTCTGTAGCTTGAATACTTTTGACCATGAAAGGCAATTTTTTTAGAGATGGGAAAACGGAGACCAGTCTTGTGACAAGTTTTCCTGTCTGAACAGGACTGGCATCACTGGCAAGCGGGTGATATTTTTTAGTGTCAGGTATCAGGTTTTAGGACTTGAGGAGGAAATGTAGTTTCACATTTTAATACAGAATTGTTTTTACAGACTGTGCCGAGTTGTATCTGTAGCTCTGACTATAAACACGATGATTCATATCTTACTAAGAATGGATTTAGGGCTATTTAGGACTAAGACTGAAACTTTGCCCAGACCGTAGATATTGCAGTTTATTCTGTTTTAGGTTTCCTCTTCAGGGCTGGCAAAGCCATCCCCCTGAATGTAAAGCAACTGATACATTAATAAAGCCACCACATTTTAGAAGATGCCTCAATGTATTGTATTACATGCTTAAAATCAAGCACAGATTTTTGGACCTTTTTAAATGAGAAATTTTTCAATTTTAAATTGAAGGTGCCTTCTATTAATGCAATAGACCTAGATCCTACGCTGGAATCTGCAATAGTTATATTTCGTGCCCTTGAGAAAGTTGCTTAATTTAACTGCACTTTAGTTTTCCTTACCTGTAAAATCGGGATGGTAATAATTAGCTAGCCTCTATGTTTGTTCTTTGGTGGAGGTGTACAGAGCCTTTGAGCTCCCCAAATGAAAGGCATTCCAGAAGTGCTAGATACTTCTACAGCAATTTGAGATGCGGTGTCTATAATTCACTGCTATAAAAGCAAAAAAGATCTACTGAGTATAGTAATGTCACTGAGATAGCTTTCCATGAAGAAAGTGCCATCTAAAGGCAACTGATGAGGACGTGCTTTTTCTGTTTGCAAGGAGCCCCAACTAGTGTTAGAAGAACAGAACTGCAGCAAGGCACAGTTGGGACTGAGGCTTTCTGTTGCTAAAATAAACCTCTCTGTCTTCAGGCAAAGTAATTTGTAAAGAGGAAAAAGCTTGCTTTGCCCTGTTGAACTGAGGCTATTCCTCTGGCCTTAAAAAATCTGTGACATTGAACTTACATACCAAAGCAGATGAGTATCTTGTCTCAGAAAACAGCTCAGCTTTTTGAAGAAATTTTCAGTATGAGGGGAAAGTTCATACCTTGCAATGATGGACAACAGGGACAAGCTCTCATCCAACTGGCATGAGGAGCAAATAACTGGCAGGAAATAGTTGTGTGGAGTGGTGGACATGACGATATAAACAGGTAAAGAAAATCTGTCAGTGCTTATGCAAAAAGTAGAGCCATTAAGTACTCAGCTCAAGAACATAAAGGGACACCTGCAAGACAGCATATGGAGCACTGGATTTCGTTAGATAACAGCTTTTTCTCTTTTTGTCTACAACGATCCATCTAACTTCCCAGTTTACCACATCTCACGCATAAATGCCCGTGTTTAAGATCCACAGCTACCCGTTCAGGTGAGTGATAGCATAGGACATAAAACTGAAGCTGACTGAAGTGTACTCCATGGAAAAATGAGAATACATGGAAACTATCGTTATACTTGTCAAAGGGCTGATTCACAGCATGAGCATATACCCACCACTGCACCCCACGGACACGCTCAAAGAGATAAACTCCTGCTCAGAGAACTATTGCTGTTGCTACATTAGTGAAATTGCACCAGAAAGAAAGTATTTCCAGTTGTTTGGGTTTTTTTTTTTTCTCTCTAAGCAGATGTGTCTTCTCAGATTTACTGTGTTTTTACAGTAACCACTATGACTAATTGCATATTTGGTTAAAGAATGGGGAATCTTATTTCCAGCATAAGAAGCGTGATGATTAGCCATTGCTGAATTTGGCCCCAATCCTGGATTAAGTTATGCCTTTGTTAGCCTCAGTGCACAATGAAATTATGAAATTTAAGATTAAGAAGATACATATATATACATACATACATATAAACACATACAGACATACAGGGAGAGAGAGAAAAAAAAAAGAGATGAGAAGATACACATTTAACCTCAGCAGTTTGGAAAATGCTCCTGATAATAAAGCTCTGACTGGAGACTGGTGGATCTGCACCATCGTTTTCAAATTGCTTAAAAAAAGCAATTGTGCTCAAAAAGTTTTTAAACCAACTTCTGATCTTGGGGAATTGAGCATACTGACTATTGCTTGAGCAGCCAGGAAAATCCAGTTCTTAGCAATGATCACTTGTTCCTGGTAATGATTAAATAGGTTCCACAAGATCATATGAAAAGAGGTTTGTTTAAATACCATTTATTTGAAGGCCATTAAGTCTCTGGAGTTCAAGGGTAGCAAGGGAGATAATGTCAAGGCAATGATATCACATCTCAGTTTTATGACCCCAACTCTGCCATAGATCATACTTCGTACATGACTTAGGTGTGGGGAAAAGCTATTCAATTAATCCATCCTGTCCTGTGCCTTCTATTAATGCAGTTGATATTAAAAAGGGAGGCTGTGAGGATAAGCAGCTTATCACATCCACCATAGGCAGTCTCCTTGTCAAAAGCTAGAGTCACCGCACAGCAAGATCTCTTCTGCAAACTGCGCTTGTCACAGTGCCATTAAGTCATGCACCCTTGATTCATGATCTCCTAAAACACAGTTTTGTGTATTAGCTTAAAATTAATCACCTGCAGTCTGGCAATATTTGAATGCTGTTTAAAGGCTCACTCCAGAGATGCGGTTCTCAGAGATACCACAACTTGTTCATCTACTGAAAAGCAAAATGGGGGAACCCTGGCTCCGGTGAAGTTGGTAGTAAAGCTCCAGTTGAATGAACTGAAGCCAGGATTTTTTCCCATAATGTTCCCATAAAATGAATTGAAAAAAATGTGAAGGTAGGACAGAGCAGAGCTCTCCATGACCATTAATTTGCACCATATCCTGCCATTCATACACAGGCAACAGTGCCTTTGAAATCACTGAGTCAATGGGAGACTCGCCTGACAAAGAATTACAAGATTATATCCTTAAATTGTTGAAGTTTCATGTGCGTAACTGAACAGAATTTCCTTTGACATGAAAACAAAGACCCTTGTAAGGTTAAAAAGTGAATCTGAATTCTGTATTTTTCTGAGTCTGTAGTTTTTGCCGTGGGTCTCATTTTCAGAAACACAGAATTGGATATAGCCCAAAACTTTTTCAGCAGCTCATCATTATTAACTCTATGTTTTTGTGTGAATGTAAATTTTCCAGTCCTCACTGACTAGACAGGCAGACAAAGCTATATCAGTCAAGGCATGTTTGACACATCTGTTACAGCAAAGGAGGAAGAGTGGAAGAGCTTTAAAATAATGCATGAAAACACAGATTAGTTAAAATGAATGAATTCACCTTACCAGGGCGATATCAAAGAATCAGTTAAAATGATGCCTAATAGGAAAACCATAGGAAGCAGTGTGTGACTGAGATGTTTAAAAGCAATGCAATTTGCTATAAAACAGCATTTCAGTTTACTAGAAGCCATGGGAACTAAAACAGCTGCTGTCTGTATGGATGATACTCATCTAAATACATGGTTTTCCATGGGTTTCCTTAGCTTGCCAGGATTTTACTGTGTTTATTGTTTCTCTGTGATGGTCATATCAGTTCTGACCAGAGCATCATATAGAATAAACTTTAATCCACAAAAAGAGATGTTCACCACCAGCTACCTACTTCTGACATACTGACTCAGACAATCTTAACTCAGCATCTGTTTCTTTTTCACTTCCATGTCTTGCCAGACCTTCAGCTTGGTGGGCTGAGGCACAAAGAGGTCAAGTGATTTTAGGTAGTTGCACAATGAGTCAGTAGTTTAGGTGGAAGTGCAGTCTGAAACTCTCCTGGTTCCCACTGGTTTGCTGTAACCACCAGACTTTACAGCCTGCCCTTAGAAAGCGGTGTATAGAACTGAGCGGGGAATGGGAATAGCAGTTAGCGAAAAACCTAGCGTCCCATAAAGATGGCTCCTTTTCAGCACTTACTCTCCTTTTCGTAACTCTTTAACTATTTAAATTTCCACTCATTTGAAGATGCCTTTATCCCAGAAAAAAGCAGTGCCAAGGGGTCCCTGCGTCCATAAGGAAAGGGCCTCTGTGCCTGTCATGTTCTGACTTCAGGCAGGAGTCAGTCAGTTTTTTATTAAGGGAATAACCCCCCCACCCCAGCCCAATCTTATTACCTAATGGGTGACGCAGGCTTGCCCATGAATACGTGGGAATATGTATTGTCTGCATGAGACGCCTGACATTAGTCAGTGAGCTTTCTCCAGGGACTAGCTTTTAACTTTTCCAGGAATGCTTTTTATATTGTAGGTCCACTACAAGCTCCCAGAAGCCAGCACTGCTGCTGCAAAAAGCCACTGTGCTCTCCTCTTTCTGCCTCAGCCCTGCCCCTTCCTCACATTGGCACAAGCATGCACAGGTACCT